CATATGGCTCCCTCTGTGTGATCATAGGGACCAATCAGATGACAGCAGATTAGCATAAAGGCAGAGCATGGAGGCTCCTCCTGCAGGAGGATCAATATAAGGGGCAGATACTGTGGGGGATTCTCAGTGGATTTCGCTGGTTTTCTCCTGTGGGCCTGAAATCTCCTCACCATGCTCTGGGCTCCCCTCATCGTCCTGCTGGGGACGTGGTGCACAGGTGAGAACAGGGGGAGTGGATTAAATACACATGGACATTACTGCTGAAGCCAATGTGCAAACTGTGTCATTAGTGACTGGGGACGGACAGGGAGGGATTGACAGGTCTCTACCACACTTTTCAGGTTCCAGCTCACAGTCTGTGGTGATTCAGCCGCCCTCAGTGTCAGTGTCCCTAGGAAACACTGTGAAACTCTCCTGCACCATGAGCAGTGGGACCAGCATCAGTGCCTACACTGTGTACTGGTACCAGCAGAAACCTGGGAATTCTCCACGATACCTGCTGAGATACATGTCAGATTCTGACAAGCACCAGGGCTCTGGGGTCCCTGCTCGCTTCTCTGGTTCCAAAGACATGTCCAGTAACACGGTGGTGGCATTTCGGCGGCGGGTACACCGAAGCTGCGGGACCGGCGGACCTCCCACAGGCATGCCGCCAAAACTGCAGCACCGGCAACCGCCCATGCTTGGGGCGGCAAAAGACGTAGAGCCTCCCCTGGGGTCAAGCTGGGCCAGAGAGGACTACGTTGCAGGTTGCAGTATTCGTGGTAGATGAATAGGTGGAAGCAACTGATGCAGCCACTGGGACAGAATCGGAGGGGTCAACGTTTTTAAATGCTATGAAGGAAAAAGTGAGAGGATTTGCTGAAGGGTGGAGAGGGAGGAGTGGAGACACCCCCTGCGTGTGAGTCTGGCTGTCAGGGAGGATTAGAGATGGGCATAGAGTAGAGGGGTTGGGAGGGAAGATCTCTGAGCTCAGCTTTGGCCATGGTGTGCTTGAGATGAGAGGAGACATGACCAGCTGAGATGCCAGAGGGACTACAGGAGACCGCTCTGCAGGGGAGAAGAATATCGGAGAGTTGTTAGAGTAGATGTGGTACTGCGCTCACAACAGGTCACCCAGGGATCAGCTGCAGAGGGAGAAAAGGAGGGAGCCGAGGAGAGAGCTCGTAACAAATCTCAGGGGTTCTAAGCCAGTCCCAGGACTCTGGGGAGCCTGACCCATGAGGTTTGAACACTTGGGGTTGTCTGGCAATAGTCCCTCATGGCAGTGGCCTAAGTCACCCGAGGAAGCTACCAGAAGCCCATGTACAGCACTGGGGACCTTGGGGAGTCAGAGAACATGGGGCCCGATGGAGCTGAGGAGCCGTCCATAACCCTGGGGCCACAACTCTTCAGGCAGCCATAGTGAGTGAGCTCCCCACTGCTCTCAGCCTTCCCTGTCCCCGAAGCCCTCACCGAATTTCTGACTCCCTCCCCACAGCTTTGCATCCCTACCGAGTTTCTGAGGTATGCACGCCCTGCTGCAGAGTTTGAAGATCAGGAGGAACTGCTGGCAGAAAACAAACGTAACAATGGTGCACAGCAACTTCTGGGGACTTTAAAAGGTCTGCAAGGAGGAAAATCTGAGCCAGGAAGCACGACTTGAGGTCCCGGAACTGGGGGAGCTGGAATTAGAATAAGAAATGATGGTAAAGCTGTTAATTAGCTGTTAAGAAGCCATCATTGCTGCAAGTGCTCCTGTCGTCACTAGAGGGAGATCTTCATTTATAATATACTCAAGGCCCTTCCCTTTAGTTTTTATTTTGTTCAGCATTTCCTGGTAATTTATCAGTATTTATTACTGCCCAGACCCATTTTGGTTACTAATGCGTAACCCAGCAGCTAGAAAACCTTCATTGCTATTACATGTTAGGCACGTAATATTTAGATGTTATCGGGCATCCAATCTGGAAAAATCATAAAATTCCCAAAAGGGCCATAACTTGTAGAAACATATTTTAATTTTGACCAAAATTGGCAGAAAGCTTCTAAATACAATTGATAATGCAAATATGGACTCAAAATAGTACTGGTTTGGAAAGTTTGGGGAATATTTAGCACCAGGTGAAATATTTTATGCATTTTCCTGTAATTTTTTGCCTTCAATTAAAGCAAAAGTCTGTAGTTACACGACAGCGTGAGCTTGTTTGTACCACGTAATACAACAAAATTGTCATCATTTATAGAATGGACTGATTTAAGAAAATCTTTGCTGTCTGCTATTTTTATAGG